AATATCTCGACTTTTTAATAATAAACTTGAACTTCACTATTAAGATAAAAAGAAACTACACCATTTAAGCTTTCTAACCATATATTTTCATATCTAAGAACGCTCCCTATATAAAGCTATGGCTATTTAAAAGTAGTGGTATTTTTTCACTTCAAGGCTGTGATTATCTACCAATATCACTTTAAAAGGCTTGATAGTAACAGACAAGGTATAGAATACTTTAAGCTTTCATATGGTTATTACTTTATGGGGGTTTTGGTTAATAAGTTTTAGAGAGGTTCACGAAAAACTCTTTCAGAAGCTTTTAATATTATTCACGTAAAGATCATTCACTGAATCTTTTCTACAATTAACAAAAAAAAATGAATAAATTGAATGGACTAAGTATATTAATTATTTAAAATAATAAATTCTATAGGTATATTATTTATTTAATGAATTAGAAATAGAAAAAAAAATTTTCCTATTTGAACTAATGGAAATATTAAAAAGTTAAGTATTTTTGTTTCTTTTGTATTTATTATACCAATGATCTCTAATTTGTTTTTTAGTCCAAGAATTCGAATAATTTTTTAATTCCATCAATAATTCTTCAACAAAACTTGCAGGCAAAAATTCTGTATGTTGATCTAACTTTTTAAGGATTTCTTTTTCTTCATCTGAAAGCACCCTTCTTCGAATTACAATTGGATCTAGTAAAGTTAAATTTGAGGTAGAAGGTACTGGAAGATCCTCTTCAATTTGATTTGATATTTCTGGCTGTTGGATAGACATTTCTGTAACATCTGCTAATTCCATATTCATTGCATCTTCTTCTATTTCTTCTACTCTTTTAGATGTATCTTCAGGCAGTTGTGGTATTATGTCTTTTTTCCTTCTCCCTGGAGTTTTTTGTTCGGTTTTATCTATATCTTGTTTAATGATATTTTTAAGTCGTTCTACTCCTTTTTCATAGCAAGAAAACATGAGTTGGTAACCTTTTGTTGTCAGCTGCTTGGCTTCTGTAAACATAGGACATTCTTCAGGTGAGGAATCATTAAAAGTCTCTAGAAGTTTATCTACTAATTTCCACAATGCCTCATTACGATCATTCATAGTCCTTATATTCCTGCTTGTGGAAATATCATCAACATATTCATCATATAATATAAGAAGTCTTTCTCTTTCTAATTGGGTTGCTTTTATTAATTTTTTTAGGTTTTCTGAATCTTTGACCATGTCCTGGCAGATTTTCTTTTATGAATTTAACTCCAAAAGTTTCAAGAGCCTCATCATAACCTAGATAGTGATTTTCCCTGGTAAGATTAATTGATGCTGCTACTTGGAGCTTTTTTTGTAGAAATGGATTTCTGCAGGTTTTAATCAAAAATCTACTTACTGATTCTGCATATCTACTTTTTCCAGTTACAGTCAAACCTCGTTATAACGGACATATTGGTTTGGCCTCAATGGTCCGTTATAACGAGGTATCCGGTAACCAAGGTAATTGA